ATAATTTTAAAAATATTAAATCACCTTTTAATTTGGTTATCTAAAATTAATTCAATCACGCATTTCTAATTTAGTTATCTCAAATTAATTCAACTACTTTAAATTCACTTCTAATTTGGTTATCTTAAAAAATTTAAAACCATGTATTTCTATTTGGTTATCCAAATTTATTTTTAATATAGTAAATAATTAAATCAAAAATTATTATTTGTAAATATTTTTTTTAAAAAGAACCGTGTTACTTTAATTCTCCGTTGTATTAGTGGGAATATATAAGAGAAAAAAATAATATAAAAAATATAATTTTTTTTATTTTAAGTAACACCATTTAACAGATATATAAATTTTAGGAATAAAGTTGTAGGATGTTAATACATTTTCTACGTATAATTTATTTTTGAATTCATCTTTTGTTTCGTGTATAACTTTTTTTTGTCTTTTAAAAGTTTTTTTTCAATATTTTTGTTGAAATAAATACGAGTGACTACTCTGTAATTTTCTTTCGTTTATAAATGTATTTTGATCGTGTAATTGCGATAAATTGGAATTATATAAAAATGTTATGAAAAAAAATGGAAAAGATATATCAAAATATCTTAGGATCTGATATAATATTTAGATAAAGAAGAAAAATAAAAACTATAGAATATTGATTATAATTTGAATCTTGCCATTAATCCACGTAATTAATACTATTGAAGGTTCATTTTCCCAACATTCAAATTCTATTACACCTCTCACAAAAATATCATCGCATTAACTACAAAAATATTTAATACGTAAGAGATAGTGAAAACATAATGCAAGCACACATAGGATAACAATTAAACCCATACTCGTGGGGACCGACCCGTCTCCGCCCCGAGTTTGACGGGGAAAACCCGAGTTGACCGGAGGCGGGTGGGTTCGAGTTCGGGCTTTTCCCGCTTCAAAAGTCGGAAGCGGGATGGGTAATGCAATCCCCACCCCGACCCCGTCTCTGTCCTTACTCCGACTTTATATTTAAATTTAAAATTTAAAATATTAATACTTTAAATGTATTTTCTTTTCTTTTTCTATTATATATAAGGTTATTTTTTTAATATTTCACCAATTTTTATTTATCTTCTATCCACTTTTAATTTTTTTATCTTTTTTAATCTTTTATATCAATTAATTTATTATATTATTCTATCTTACATTTCTACTTTTTACATTTCCTTAATTTCTCCCATCAATTTTTTTTTATCTTTTCAATCAATTTGATGAACACAAAGTATTTTTTTCTTTATCTTTTTCTAAATATTTTACATAAATCCTAATAGTAATTAATATTATTTTATTTATAATTTATATTTATTAGGTTTTATTATGTCATATTTTTTATCTTATTATTCTTATTTATCATATATCAAATTTTATCTTAATAAAATAATTATATTTTAAAGGATTAAAAGAAATAGATAATTTAAACTTTTATTACTTTGAACTAATTAAATAAGAATTAACTTATTTAATATTTTCTTATAAATTATATATTTCATATTTTTAAATAACAACTTAAAAATGAATTAACTTATATATATAATTAACTGTTTGAATACAAGTATTATAATAATAATGTTATAAATATTTAAATATTTGAATATAATAATAATAATGTTATAAATATTCTCTATATATATAAATAAAAAAATAATTAAATATTTTTTTACATACATATTTTAATATAAATATAATAAATTAAAATGTATATTTAATTAATAATAATTATAAATTATAAAATTATAAATATTTATTTATATATAAAAATACACAATAAAATTAATTTATTATAAATGTAATTATCTTTTTAAAAATATTATAGATCGGAAATGGAAAACCCGAAACCCAACGGAGACAGGGATAAAAACTTAATTTTTAAGTCTTGCGGGATCGAGAATGATTAAAAAAGTCGAGGACGGAGATCGAGAGCAAAATCCGCCCGTCGCACCCGTTGACATGTCAAATGGATATGCACACGTTAATACAAACAAAAATAAAACATTGAGAGAAATGTAAACCCCTGTGCAATTATACATATAAGAAGAAATATAGTATTTTAATAGTTATAGTATTTTTAATATATAATTATTTATAGTTTTATACTTAAATTTAACAAATTTTATCCATTTAATAACAAACATTTGATATTAAAACATTGACGAAAATAATAACGTAGTAAGGGATTAATTGTAAATTAACGAGTTAAAATTGTAAGAGATTGAATATGGATTAACAAAACCATCTCTGCATCAAATTAACTACTTATTATCAATAGGAAAATGGTGAGAAATCAGGTATAGACATGATAACACATTTATGTGAGATTAATTATTGATCAATAATAGAAAATTTAAGAGAAATTAATTACGGATTAACCATAAAATTTTTAATGAAAGATTAACTATTGACCTGTGAGAGAAAATGGTGAGATATTAACTAAATTAATGAAAACACATTTAATGGATTAGTAAGAGAAAATTTTGTGAGATATTAAGTATGAATAATGATAAACATACTGTGGAAGATTACATAGGAAAACATTTTGCAAAGAATTAATTACGAATTAACAATAGAAAAATTAGAATAATTTAACTCCAAGAAATAAAAAATGCGTGTAACCAATTAACTAAAGAGAAATAAATCTGTCACTTTAATTAACAAAATTTAAAAACTGACAAAATTTGCTAGACTATACAAACAACATATATCAATAATTGGCTTAAGAGAAAAATATTTTATACACCTTCATCACAAAACTTGACTAATAATTAACTAAAAAAATGTTTGATAAGTAATGTGTAAAATTCTTATAGTAATTGGAATATCTATATATCTACTTATTTTCATCATATTTTAGGTTAAAAATATATATTAATCTATTAAAATAATAATAATAAAAATAATATTAAGGTGCTGATTTAATTTTTCACTATTTCATTAAATATATTAAATCAAACGAATATTTAAAATTAATATTGTAAACAAAAAAAAAAAAAAATATATATATATATATATATATATATATATATATATATATATATGAATGAGCGGGATTTCTTTAAAATTAGTTTAGTAATTTCAGTATAATTTATTATTTTATTCCTAAATTTAATAATTATTTAATATATTTATTTATATATTTATAATTCTATTTTTTAAATTTTCACCAATTTTATAATTCTCGTATAATTTATAATTTTAGTACAATTTCTTAATAATAATTAAATTTATTTATTTATATATTTATAATTTTATTCTCTTGTCATTTTTTTTCTTTCAATTTTTTATATTTATTTACTATGTATTAATAATATATTACTTATTTATTTATATAATTAGTTATCAAACTATGATATAAATAATATTAATGACAATAATTACTTTTTCACTTAGAATAATAATTTAATTCAATATATAAGAATATAAACTCTACCAAAGAAAATCATGTATTATATAAAGTTCGAATTTTAACCAAATCCTATAATACTTTTAAACCTCTTTTAATATATGTATATATAAAAGAAGGATGGGAAAGTTGATTTTTATTTTTTTTAACAAGAACAAAACATTTTATATCATTTAAAAAATAATTTAATCTGAAACATAAATATCCGTAGTATTTTGTATTTATATATTATTTTTTTCATTCTTTTAGAAAAACGAAAATATAAAACTTTAATTTTTTATTTTATAAGAAGAGAAAGTACGAGACTTATGAACTTCAAAATAAAAACAAGGTCGGTTTGGTTATAAAGAAAAAAAAAGTAAAAAGTATATTTGTTTATTTAAGAGACCATGATGATGTAAAAAGAAGAAAATTATTTATTTTAAAAAGTAATAAATAACTAAATGTTTATAAATATTTATATGATTATTACTTAATCTTTTACTAATAAAAATTTGTATATAATTAAGATATATATTGTTTAATATATATAAATTTTTAAAATATTTGAATTTAAATTAATAAAATAATATCACATTAAAAATATAAAATATATTAATTAATTTATTTAATTTATATAATAATTTTTATATTTATCATGTTCTACCAAAATAATGTATATATATATATATATATATATATATATATATATATATATATTTTATTGAAAAGAGAATAATTTTGTTAAATAATATTTTTTTATATTTTTATATATATAAGTAAAAAGTAAAATATGATAATTAAAAATGAACTGTTTTTTTTATCATTTTCCTTCTCATCGATTAATATTTTTTTTTCTTTTAGCTTATTTCTTTAGTCACTTATTAGTCCCTATTTTTCTTATAAACAAATGTAACATAAAAAATAAATAAATACTACACTTATTAATATTTCAAATATTTTTGTAACAACTTTTTAATGTTTTTTTTTAAATATAATGAAAACAAAATAATAATATTATTAAAAAATAAAAAATAATAAAAAACTTTTTATTTATTTTAATTTAAACAAATATTATTTCCACTTATTTATTTATTTTTTCCTTCCTTTTCTTCCATTTTTCATTCTTTAACCTTTCACCCTCCAATCCAAACAAAATGTAATGATTAGAGTAAAAAATACATATAGATTTTGATGCAAAATTTAAAATGTTTATTATAAAATTAAATAAATTTATTATACATAAATAGAATTAAATGAGACTCTAAAACTGATTTATACTTATATTGCATAACCTATTTTTCTCTCTATATTTATATTTTTTCTCTCGTTTGGGTATTGTTTCGTTCTATAAGGATAAAAAATAAATTTATAATTTTTACTCTTGGAATAAATTCATCTCTCAAGTACATATATATTAAAGAAAAGTGAGAAAATGCACAACAAGATCAGGTATAAGAAGAAATGAGAAAAACGGTAATTATGAGATTGTATTATGATATAGGTTTTTCAAATTGCAATTGTCTAGCAAATAATAGAACACATAAAAGTATTCATATTAATTTTATTTGTCGCGTTTAGTGAATACGAATCATGATGTAGCACTAGGATTTCTTGTAAGGGGCAAGTTCCCATCATAAGTGCATTTGAAAACATCTGGTTTTCTGACAAGGCGGGGCCCAATTGGAACTATGTTCTTTTTAGGACGAATATCCTGCAACAACACAAAACTCCCATGATTAGATCAACCTCTTTTTTGAGTTATGAGATACAGAAAACAAGACATCTTTATTATATCTACCTGGTCAAATATAGCAGTTGGAATGGCCAAGGTTGCAACAGCATTGGGAGCATCCACTATTCCAGATATTCTTCCTTCACAAGGAATGCAAGATAGGAGCAGGTACACCTGGTGATGTCCAACATACTTGTACATGTTTAATTTGAATTAAACATTTCAAACTTAAAACGTAAACAGAATTCATTTTGTACACAGAATTTGCAAAAACAAGTTTATTTGAACCTAATTAGTATGCAAACTGCTATTTCCTAGAAAACCCAAACATGAGACCAAATTAGTTTTACTGAACAAACACAAATTAAGAGGCCAAATGATAAACCAATCGCAGCCTTAGCATCTAATCATGGGTTGCATTTTTCTTGGAATATACAATCAGAATGCTAAAGCAATGACAGAGGAAAAAAAACCTGTTCTTTGGAGTATCCAAACTTAGATATGTAGTCAATGGCATTGAGCACTGCTCTCTTGTATGCAACAGTTGCATCTAAGTAATGTTGCCTCCCACTTTCATCAACACTAATTCCCTCGAAAACCAACCATTCTGAGAATCTCGGTTCAACAGGGCCTATCTCAAATATTGGGTTTACATGAAGGGGAGTGGGCCCCATTGGTGTAAGGTACTCTTTCATTCCACCCCTTATAATTTCACACCTGATTACATGAAAAATGTTACCAGCTCTTTCCTTGTCCAGAGGATATTTAAGAGTAGTGGTGTCCACATAATCACTAATTTAAAAATATTATAAAGGTGATATTTGAGTACCCAAGTTGTACTAACTTGAGTTCTAAGAAACCACTCATCTCTATTGCACCACAGAATGAGACCTCGCCATCACCCTGTGAAAAGTGCATGTCACCGGTGCTGAGATTTGCTCCTTCCACAAAAACTGGGAGATATACTTTTGCCCCTCTACTAAGGTTTTTTATGTCACAATTTCCACCGTTTTCTCGTCCTGGTATTGTTCTTGCAGCTTCCTTTGCAATCTTCTCCCATTCACTAGATCCTTTTTCAATCTAGAATAAGGATATAAGGAAAGGGATTTAAACTAACACAATGGAAATCTGCAAATTCTTAATAGCTTTTGTGAACTTGGATCAAGATTACTGTGCTTTTTGAATAAAAGATAGCATATTGGATGTCACCATTGTGTTAATTTATATGATTTGAGAGTCTCATACAATTAAGGGACTTCTATGATTCAAGTCTTCATTATAAATCCAATATCATCTGCTTTCAATCAGTCTCTACATTAAATTAATCAGTTTTTACAATTAAAAAAATTAACAAACTACATGATTTTGAAGGAAGTGGAATCTTATTTAATTTATTGAATTATTAAACAAGGTATCTAGTATGTTATTTAAGAAAAGTGATGTATTATTAATTTGAATGATCATGTTTTCATTAATTTTATTATTTCACTAGTTTTATACTACATATTTAATTATGCTAGGGAAAATGATATGGAGAAGATTTTCTGTTTTCTGTCTCTTTTCTTAAAAAAATATATGGATGTAGTTTATTTTAAAAAATAATCTTTTACTAATTTCTTGAAACTCTTTTTTTCTATTTTATTTAAAATTGCTGTTATCATTTCTCAAACTACTGATTTTTTATTTAAGATTGTAACTTAAGAGTTAAAAATTATAATTAATATATCTTTTAAATTGTTATAAATTTTTCTATTAGATAGATTTTTTTTATATCTCTCTTCATTTTGTAGTAAATGTGTAATATAACTAAATATTAATTCTAAGAGTAAAAAAAAAAATCTAAATAATGTTTTCTTGATTTTTTAAATAACGAAATAGAAAACAACGATATTTTTTCTAAAAATCAACATGAGACATAAATAAGTAGATTCTCGTGATCAATTGATCGTTACCTTTCCAAGGAGACAACTTTTTGTTGATGGCAAGTTGGCCAAAGGTCGTGTATGCAAAACCTCACATAGTTTGAAAGAACCAACACCATTTTCTTGTATATCTCTCTCCCTTTTATTCCATATGTTCAGAAGTTCCATTGATGGTGCAGTTCCAATTATCCCGGGGTGTGTTAAACCTGGAAATCGCACTCCTTTCCAGCATAAACAGCCATGTGAGTATAGCAACTAGCCAAATATATATGTAGCAAGTGTCTCTATATATCCATTCTAAGCTCGTATAACGTTATCAGATAGAAATGATCCATGATTATGTTCACCTGGTATCTGAGGCGAATGAGCGTATATTCCCTGGAAGTACCAGATAGCTTTTGTGGCACAAGGAAAATGATCTGTTAAGAAACCACCTCCATTTTCTCTGTCAAATGTTGCTGTAAAACCCCATTCATCACCTGGTAGAGGACCCAAGTTGCAAATTTCAACAGCAAGCAGATCTCCAGGTTTGGCTGGGATCCCATCATTATCCAGAATTCTAATTGGTCCACTAAGATAATGTACCTTATCACATAAAACCATGTAAAGTTCCTTGCCATTTTTTTCCATGTGATTAGAATTTATAATTACTAGTTTTTTAATATAATCATCTTAAAAATTTGACAAACTTTAATGCATGACAATTTGTGATTTCCACTGTAATAAAGTACTTAAGAAAGAAACAAAGATACTTCATTTCATATAAGTTATCAACTGTTTGGTTTCTAAAACTCTGTTGGTTCCTTCGTTCATAAATATCCAAAATCAGGCTTAGTAATTGAATTCCAACACCTGCAGTGGTGATAACATTTGAACTTACTGTTGAGAGGTCAAGAGATTTTACGTCCAGTGGTGAATCATCATCTCTAATAGCGCCTCCAGTCCAATCTACCATCTCTACTCTAAAGACTTCACCGGTGTTAACAACGGCCACGTGGGGTATGTCGGGGTGCCATCGGTTATGGAGAGGAGGGTTTTGTTCCCATGGCTTCTTCTTCAAGTCTATTGACAAAACCGATCTTGTAGTTGGCGGTGCCATGGACATATTACTGTGTGGCAATCGTTGGATTTGGCGTAGACTCTAGAAAGATACTGTTCTTACAAAGTTTATGATTGAGGTGAAGAAGGGGGTGGATTTTCAATTGGTGGACGGACCACGCTTTGGTCCCAGAAAAAAGTTGAGTCACCGATGAAAGCGAGGTGTGTATTCGTTCATATTGTGGACATGTGTCTACCTTCATATTAAATCGGCCCAATCCAGTGTAATAAAACTGAATTGGATAGAATAAGTATATAATCAAAATAACAAAAAAGTAGGGTAACTTAACTTCATGATTAATAAATATTATCATATTTGTTTCATAGACTTTATCGATCCAGAGCCTTTGGTTGGAGTAAAAACCAATGAGAAAAATAGTTCAAAGAAATAACTATATATTTTTTACTCATATAATTGAAGAAAAATAGAAGAGAAGAAAAAAAGGTGGCCCATATGATTTTTGTAATTTTTTTTAGTAAAATTTTACTGAAATAAATTTTCTGTTCTTAACACTATATATAAATTTCTTTTTTGAGAATTGACACTCTATAATCTTAGATGAGAATTGATATTTTGCTTGTGTTGCGTCCATCATACGTAATTAATACGGGTAAATATGATTATTTTCATTTATAAATTATTAAAATAAATAAATAAATAAATATGCTTGAATATAACTATAGACAAGTAAAATTATTATACTGTTTAATAGTAATATTGATTAAACTTTATTTTAAAATAATTAATATTAGCTACGCATAGATAATTGTATATAAATTATATTCGTTAACCATTGCTAAACAAAATTAATTATATTTTACTGACATATGTATCTGAATATGTTCGTGTTTTTCCTTGTAAGATACATGATGAGTGAAAGGAAACATGATGTGACAAAATGATTTTTTTTTCACTCACTTTTTTCGAAGGTTTGGCAACAAAATTATTTACGTTGTGTAAATTATTGGAATTTTGGTAGGGAAATTAGGACTGGGAAAATGACAGTCCTGGCAGAGTGAAAAGCCTGACGGGTTTAACAGAGTCAAATTTTCAATGAATTAATTTTTTTTAAGTTAAATTTGGTCATACATTAACATATATTCTGGTTCAATATAATATTTTCAAATGTATCTCAATCTTCCCTGCTCACACAAATAAATGTAACGGTTAAAATAAAAACCAATTAAAAAATAACAAACAAATTAAAAGCATAAATGATTCATTGGGTGGTTATTTTTAGTCCAATCTTTTGTAAGAAAAAACAATTAAAATTTATTTAACATCATTCTTCAAATAATTGGTGAAGATTCTAAGAAAATTGTGTATTATCGACGGATTTTTACTGATGAATTTATAATCGTCGGAAAATAATTATTATCGATAGATATAAAATATTCGTGGAATTTGATGTTACTGATGGATATATCCGTCGGTAAATTAATAATTAGTTACCAATAGATATATCCGTCAATAAATCCGTCGGTAATTTATAGATGAATTTACCGATCCGCCGATAAATTGACAATTAATTACCGATAGATATATCCATCGGTAAATTCATTTATAAATTAACAATTATTTACCAATGGATATTTCCGTTGGTAAATTAACAATTAGTTACCGATAGATATATCCGTCGGTAAAATTATATAATAATTACTTAATATAATTTAATTATTCACCTAATTAAAAAATAAAATATTTTTTATTTAATAATTTAATTTAATTTAATCATAATTAAATTAATTTATAATAATTTATTAAATTAAATAATTTTAAAAAATAAATATATAAATATATAAATATATTTGTATATAAATATAATTTATTTGTAAATTATTATCAAAAAATTACGATAGTTTAGTGGTTGGAGTATCAGTCTCGACTCTAAGGTATTTTGTTATTACCGACAAATTTTAACCCTCGTTAATTTTAATATTTCTTGTATGTTAATTAAAAATATAAAAGAGAATAATATTTATTCTTAAATATAATAATTTAATACACAAATATATATATATATTTTTTGGTCAAATCTTGTAAAAGTTTATCCATAATAAATTAATCATATTATTTTAAATAATATTGTATTAATTGGTTAAATAAAATGTTCTGTTTTGAAATTAAATAAATAAATTACCAAAGTTAGATTCGATTGAAATTTTTTGAAGAATTTTGAACTGCAATTGGTGGTGAAGTTTACAAAATAGAAGATCCACTCTACCTTTTCCCTCATCACTCTTTCAGAATTAATAACCCCGCCACACTTCCCCTATCTATCTCCACTGTTAATTTCATCAACACAGTTTTGGTGAAAGAGAATTAATAACCCCGCCACACTTCCCCCTATCTCCAGTGTTAATTTGATCAATACAGTTTTGGTCTAAGTATCTTTCAACGAGTGATCAAAGTGTGGTATAACAACAGTCAGTGATAATTTCTGTAGTCATTGTATTTGTAGCAGAAAGCAATGCATATTTAATACTCTCTATATATTAATTTCCTATGGAATATTAGCTATGAAGTAGGTAATAATGATGATGAACAAAGAGAACTCACTGTTAACGGATCAATGTGCTTGACATCATGGGCAGAGTGATTATCGGCGATGGCACCTCCACTGAAGTCTACCATTTCAACTCTGAAAACTTCCCCAGTAGTCACCTCTGCAACTGGGGGTATGTCTGGATGCCATCGGTTGTGAAGAGGGTTTTTCTGCTCCCACGGCTTCTTCTTCAAGTCTATAGGAACCACCAATCTTGGACCATACCGAGCCATTTCTTGTGGGCAATATTATCTCACAAACAGATCTAGCGAACAAAATCAGTAGTGAGGGAACTTCTTTTATTGGTGTCCGACTAGCTTGACTTTACTTGCTTTGATATATAGCCATGAAGGTAGCTTTACTCGACCCCACACCACCCTTATCTGGTCCCTTCCGCTGGACCACTCACCCTCATTGGAAGGTTCCAGTCCTTGTTTCTTGTCTTGTATGTTTCCTCATGACTGGAAGGGAATGATTTCAACGGTCCAGAACGAATCAAGAGCATCGTGATCAACCCCATTACCTTGTTTCTTTTGGGGCAAATTTGATCTCTATACCCGTTTCATATCAGAAATGGCTTATTGAGACAATGGAAGCGTTTACGTGAACTATTAGAGTTTCTATACGTGCGGCCAGTAATCACATCCTTCACTTGATTTAGTAAAAAACCAACTTTTAAGAGAAAAAGAAAAAATGGGGTTGTGTCAAATGAAAGATGACATTAAATTTCACCATCATACATTGCTGCTGTAATTCTCTTGCATAATATGTTACTTGGTGGTAAGTGTCAATTACTTGTTTAACCTTACTTTTAGTTTGGATAAGTCAGACTTCTAAAAATAAATACAGTGAGTATTCTAAGGTTGAAAATACTTTTTTTTTAAATTATTAATCTCAAAATATAATTTTAGATTGATTCTTATTTTTAATTTAATATTTATATTTATAAAATTATGAAATAATTTTATTTTATATTCATTTCTTTCCTTATATTATTAAAGTCTCATCGTTATGACGTGTTGTAATGATAAAAATTTAACCTGTTACTGAAATAAGAGATAAAAAAGAAAATGGCAGTAAAAATGTAAAGATCGTGTACGAACTTACTATTATTCAATCTTAAATCTATTTGAGGATTGTTTAAATAAGCGAGGTTCATTCTCTTGTCACAATTAAAAAACAATTCTTCAATCAATCCAACTTTAATCCATATAAAAATAAATTAGTTTATAAGTTCAAATTTAGATTGACATCTAAAAACATCTGCAAATTTTGAATTATTAATGAAATTGCTTTAAAAAATTTCATTCATTTTTTCTTTTTATGTTAATGTCATCTCATCATTATTAGAGTTTTTATATATGCTAATTTTACGTATTTTCTTTCTTACTCTTTCATCTAATTTTTGTTATGACCAACTTCAACAACATCGTCATAAAATAAACATGTGTCAATATTTTTTTATTATTACGTTTTATCATACGAATCAAACTATTTAAAAGTTGACGTTGAAAGCTTGAAAAATAAAATATTTAAATTATTGATATTATTTTTTCTTAATATTTAAATTGTTTTTATCTTTAATTTTTTTATAAGGATAAATTACTTTGATTTTGTGGTTATTTTTTAAGATATTTTCTCATGTATTAATTATATTGTATATAAGAATATTATTTAAAATATAGTTTTAAAAACTAAAGAACAATTATAAAAGAAACAAATATCTACAATTTTAAGAATATGTTTGATTTAATTTTAAAAAAAAGTTTTAATTAATAGTAATTTTTAAGAATTATTATTAATATTTTTTTATGTTTTAATTAAAAAAAACGGCATTAGTAATACAAAGTGTTGTAAGAAAAAGTTAAAAGAACAATTTTATTAATTTTACCGTCAAACGAAAATAATGAGACAAAACCAATGAATCATTATTAAAGAAACACAAAATTCACATTTTGTCAATTTTTATTTTTAAATTTTCAAAACTAAAAACAATTTAATAAAGTAATTATTAATTTTTTTGTTTTTAAAAATTAAAAATTAAAAATTAAAAAATGGTCATATTTTAAAGTAAAACTATAAATGCTAATAATTATTTATTAATTTTTTACTAAATACATTTCTTTGTAATTTTTATTCAAACATAATTTTAATTCTTCAATAAATTTTTGGAAAATACATAATTAGAAAAATCATAAAAAGATGTAGTAACATAAAATATGGATATAATGTGAAAGTATTAGTATTTGAAAAGAATAGTACAACATAAGAGTATTCAAAATAAATAATATATATCAACGAAAACTCTGTCGCGTACGATACGTGTAGGGTAGGGATGACAATCAAACCTGTCTCCATAGGATCGATCCGTCTCCGTCCTAAGGTTGACGGAGAAAAATCGAGTTGACTGGGGTTCGGGTTTTTCCCACTTTAAGAAATCGGGTTTGGGGCGGGG